ATTCAAGCCACTGTGCAATCTTCTATTTCGGTCAAGGAATTTGACCGAAATGCTTGCAAGATCAAAACCATGACTTGCTTTATGTCAAATTGGTTTCGAGTTTTATTTCGGTCAGTTTTCTTGACCAAATTAATAATATTTTATGTTATTTATTAATATTTAATGTTGAAATAAGTGGAGTTTTTTTCATTTTTATTCGGTCAATTAGTTGACCAAATAAAGTCTTATTAAACATTCGGTCAAGAAATTTGACCAATTTGTTTTTGGTGCCAATTGGCGCCAAATTAATTCTATCAAATGTCTTAACTGAAGTAATATTAGACCGAGTTGTACACCTTTTTTCATTTTTTTTGGACAAATCTTATATTCAATGATTTTATTTGTTCAAATTAGTCATTTTTTTGGTCAAGAGAATTGCTTGACCGATATGCTCTGACCAAAATAGTCAATTTTCTAGTAGTGTCATATTGTTGATTATAAACTTTTCACCTTATTTAGTAAGAAAAAATATTATATTCTTAATAAATTTTTTTTAAAAGGTAATATCCTTTGTTATACCAAATCTCGTTAGAGATTGTTCTTATTTCAAATTTAGTTTATATAGAGGCTAAATTGCAATTATTTATTTTCTTTTTAAGTCTCGTGAGTTTCATTAACACAACTATTTCTTTTAACTCCAAAGTTAATTAAAATCAACAGCTTGCAACGGTGACATTTAGTTGAAGGGCTTATTTGCATAAATCACGCAGTTAATGGGCTTATACTTACATTTCTTGCTTAGGGGCTGATATGTTAAAATGGGGTAAATTCGGGGGCTTAAGAAGATTTTGCCTACATGAATTGAGGTTATAGCCGTGCGCAAATTTCTAGCTGACATAATTTAAGTGATATTTTATTAGTTAATAATTTTTTAAAAATAATTAATTGTAATATTTTAAAAATATTTATTTAAAAATTAATTTTTGTTCTTTATATAATAAATATCGATAATTTTATTAATTGTTAATTATTTTTAACTATCAAATTAAAATAAAAATTTTATTACTTGTATGATGACAGCAATTTATAATCACAGTCCATTGATAGGATTTGAATCCAACTATGAGCTCATGTAGTCCTTTGAATACTTCGCTTGGCAAGATATATTGACATGAGATGAGAGGTTATGTTTTTTTTACAATAATCAATACATCATTTGGTTTAATACATTACAAAATATATTTGTTAAAAAAATTATTATTATTTTATATAAAATTAAGAATAAATAAATTTAAAAATATAATAACGTATATAGCATATAAAATTTGATTGAATTAATTATATTTATATTATATTTTAAAAACTAAATTAGATAAATATTAAAAGGCATATAAAATAAAAAATGTACTAATAATCATTCTTCTTTTTTTATTTAAACTATGATGGGTTTCAAGTAAATTGTAGTTACGTCCTCACACACTATTTTATTAAAGTAACATAAATTTTATTTAATTTAATTGATATTTTATTAATTTGTTTTTTTATAAATAGTGTTGTTATAATTTAAAAATATTCATTTTTAATTTATTAAATAATAACTATTAATTTTTTAATTATAAACTATTTTTAAAATTTAAATTAATATTTAAAAATTATTATTGTGTAGCCTTAACACACTATGACATGTGGCTATAACCACACCCTTTCCAGCATTTGGGAAGGAATTCTAAACAAAAACTTACTTTGAGCCCCTCACCTGGTTTTTTAACCCTTTACTTTATACAATGACACTTTTAGCTCATCGTTTTATTAGATTTGTAAGTTTTAGCCTCTCATCTATGAAAATCAAAGAAAATAACATTCACTTTATACTAACTATTAACTCTGTTAGCTGAAAGTAAATTTTTATCAACTAACAATCAACTAATTTTCAGTTAACAGAATTAACGAAATATTATAAAATTAGTTCTATTAATTCTATTAGCTAAAAGAAGATTTTTGTCAATTAACAGTCAACTAACAGTCAGTTAATAGAGTTAACAGTCAACTAATAGAACTAACAAAATGTTATAAAGTGAGAACTATTTTCTTCAATTTTAATAGGTAAGGGACTAAAAGTGTCATAATATAAGGCAATGGGATAAAACCTTTAAATTTAATAAGTTGAGGGGTTAAAAGCAAGTCTTTGTCATAATTCTAAGTGTTTCTTCTTTTTTTTTTTAATGATTTTAAGAAA